CTCAGAGCCTGTGAGGACGAGAGCGCGGATGCTATCATCCTCGTCGAAAGCCCTGACGGCATCGTTGAGCTCTGTGAAGAGGGGCGTGGAGAGCGCGTTGAGGGCCTTGGGGCGGTTGAGGGTGATGAGGCCGACGCCGTCCGCGGGGCGGGAGGTGAGGATGAACTCGTACTGCTTCTGCTGCGATTCGGTGGACATGAGGCGGAGGCGGAGGTGTGCGGACTGTCTGAACGCGCGGTGGTTGCGGAGGACGGCGGCGGCGGTGGAGGAGAGAGGGGCACGGAGGCGCAGAGCGAGGGACATGCGGGGCTTAAGAAGCAGTAGGGCGCTGAAAGCGAGTGCGCGGTGGGAAGACGTCGACGAGAGAGGAGGGACGGCGACCGCGTGGACGAGTGCGACGTCAGTCGAGTGTGCAGTGTCGCGGACGACGGCGAGGACGCGGGGTTATGTAGCGTGGGCGCTGCCGTAGCCGACGCCGCTCCGGTTCGGAACGTCGACGGCGGCCATGTGCCTTTGCTCGCCACCGTCATCTGCCGCCCGCTCGCCACCGTCGCCCTCGTTCTCGCCGCCACGTCTTCATCTGACCGCTCGACGTCCGGAGCTTGTCGCGCGCTGGTCAGCTGTTGGCCCCCTTTCTCATGCCGAGTGCAGCGTCGAACGCCCTCCTCCGCGGCGCACACCGATTGGCCTGTGCGCGCGCGGCTGTGTTCTTGCACATATGCACGACCTCGGCCGCAGTCACCGGTGAGCAGGCCTAGCAGCATCCGCAGAGACATTATTATTCATAAGCGAACGCGCATCTTCGTTGCATCCTCCGGCTCTGATTCCTGCAGCATGTCCAGGCGTCGAGTACCAGCACCGGAACGTCGGCTCGGACTGGCCTCCTACATGATCCACGAATGAGAGCTCTCATGCTGTGGTTTTGCTGGCCTATGTTACTTTCGTGGCGGATCCATGCGCTCTGCTATCTGGTCCGGATCAACTGTTTCTGGCTTATTGATCTTGTACAAAGCCCTACTCCTCGTCCACAAAGACAAACCCCTCCCTCCTGGCCCGCTGTCTCGCTTCATCTCCCTCTGGAACAGGCAGCTCATCCCGCACATCTCTCACCGCCTGCTCGAAATCGAACGCCTTGCCTCTGTCGAACCCCTTGCTGATGCGACTCTTCTCTCTCAAAATTGCGATGAGCAGCGACGCTTGGCCGCGAGTCAGGCCCGCCATCTCGCTCTTCAGATGCGACGCCCCTACGAAGAAAGCGAGCTCGCTCAACCAGACCATCTGCATCTCCGTCGGCGGAGCGTGGCAATACCTCCACTCCCGCGGGTGCGGTGGCGGGTTGCCCTAGACGTTCCGTACTCATCAGCGTTTGCAAACGCGCAACCACGACGCCGCTCACCGCATTGGGGTCTCGTCCCAGGGAAGCCAAATATGCCTTCGTCGGCGGTAGCTCGTCCCGCATCATCGCAATCAGGTTTTAGGCCTCCGCCTTCGTAACGTTCTGACCATTGCTGTCTGGCTGCGAGAGGAAGGGGATCTCGATCCCAAAACGTCGACTCTGCCTCCACGACGTGTCCTCTTGTTTCTCGGTCATCGGCTCTGGGAGCACGCCAACGGCAGATAAGCAATGACCACGCTTCTCTGCAGTCTAAACAAGCTACTCACCGCCACCAGTAGCCCACTCTTCCGGGGGCCTCAGCGGGATGAACTCCATGGAGCGGACCGCAGACGGTGAGTCGGTTTATGCGACAATGGTAGAGCGGGGATTTCGAGGCGATTCGGGGCGAAACGCGCACCGGATGTTCCTGTGCGGCGGAATACTTATGCACCGCTGCTCAGGGCCCCTGATACGCACCAGTGAGCCTCCTCTTTTCACTCTCGACAATGCGACGGCAATCGCGGCAAGTTGGGACTGACCTGCCTAGTAGTTCTGGCCCTGATGTTTTCAGACTAGCCAGCAGGATCCTCCATACCCCGGAGCACAGCGTCGCCTTCTAGCTGTTTGCGTCTCCTGAGTCCTGAAGATCGACGCTCATTCTCCTTGGACTGGACGGAGGTTGCACGCAGTAATCGTGCCTGCCTCACAGTTAACAACGATCTCAGCTCGTACACGCCGTTTTATAAAGTGCGTTTTTCAAGTCTTTCTGTTACATTCTGCGCGAACCCTTGGCCTTCCGACGGCGATACTACGACCCGGTAGGCAGCTCGGCCCGGACAGCCTCAACCGCATCCTCGAATGAAGCCTGCCTCTTCTCTGGCGACAGCGCGTATCCTCCCTCCTCCCTCAGCTTCAAGAGCGCTGTGATCAGCAGAGAGGCTTGACCACGGGTAAGCGTCCTCAGTGTGTCCCTGATCGTCTCGTCCGGGACGCTCAGCCGGGTGATCAGGTCGGCCAACCAAGTCGTCTGTTTCTCGGTAGGATCTTCGTTCCGCGTACTCCAGGTGCGCGGATGCGGAAACTCCTTCTGCGAATTCAAGTGTGCGTCTTACTACTTAGGACTAGGTGCATTCCGTGCGACCAGAACAGCGTACCGGGGGAGGGTTGTTTCCCAGTTCCTCGATTTCCTCTTGTCTAGGAAGCGCGCCCAGCAGCAGTGCAGTGATCAGCTTGCTCGCCTCCGCCTTGCTGAGCCTTCTTCCGCCCTCGCCGTTCTCCTGCGTGAACATGGCGATGTCGAGACCGCAATCTTCAGCCAGGCTGGTGAGTGTCTTCGTCTGCGCTTGAGTCATGTAGTCTAATGACCGCCGATAAGTCTACGCGCCACATACTGTAGCTGCTGGGCGATCTAGCACGCACCTCTCCCGGTAGCCCATTCCGTCCGTGGCCACCAGGGAATTATGAGGTCGTGGAGTGTAGCCATCGCGGCCAGGGGTCGACAAACGGTGAGCGCAGATGGAGGTATCGCAGGAACGCGCACCTACCACGAGGGAGCGTCAGGGCAACTGGAGGCGGTGTGAGATAGTTCAATCCCGAAGACCACGGGCCGGGACGACTCGGGGACGTCATACGTTTCCCGCAGCGTCACCCATCGTTCGCGCATAGCTCATGGTTTGACGGGCTGTCAAGTTCAACATATGTGACAGCTCAACTACCGAGGTCGAGGGGCGCTCTACCTCCTACAGCTGCTGATATCCATGCCGACGCTCTGCTGCTTCAAGCTATCGTGCTCTCTACGAAGTTCATTGTAGTAGGAGTGTCCGGTGGGTCGCGAAGCTTCACTACTTGCGCGGTTGCTTGGCTGGCAGCTCACTGGACGTCTACGCCGTGTGCCTGTGGCTTGACGGGGGTGGGTACATTACGGAACCCCCTGACAACCCTCGCCTCACAAAATCCCTCTGAGACATCTGCCCTTGGCAGAGCGAACCATGACACGCAACTAGTCATGCAGACATCGTACACGTCAAGCCCACCATGAACGACCCCTTGCCTGCGATTCTCCCGTCCCAGCCTACTTCTCCACCTTCATCGCCTGCTCCTCCTTGAGGACCGCTACGAAATCGTCCTCGAGCTCCTCATCGAATAGCTTCTTCGGCGCGCCAACGGCAAAACCATCTTCTCCAGCCTGGGTGTCTTCCTCGGCCTTCGATTCGTCCTCGTCGGGCCCGTCCTCGTCCATGACCGGCGACGGGAGCTCCGCCTGCACCTGTTCGAGCGAGAGCTCAAAGAGCAGTTGTCCGTCCACCGCCGATAGGTAGAACTTCTGCATCTTCCTCAGGTTCTCGATGAGGAGCGACGCCTGGCCAAAGGTGATGCCGGTCAAGTGCTGCTGCATGACGTTTTGCGAAATATGCATCTTGGTGATCAGGACGTGCAGCCACGCCAGTTGCATGTCTCTCGGCGGTTCGTTGCAATGCAGCCAAAGACTGGGATGCGGCGGCAGCTCGTACTGATGCAAGCTCATCAACCCTTGCGTCCAAGGAAATACAGCAGATCGTCAACGACTGACCGACTCCGTGCTCTGACCCAAGGAGACCACGTACGCGTCGCTCGGGATCAAGCCGTCCTCGAACATGCCGATGAGAATCGAGGCCTCCGCCTTCGTCACCCGCTGCGTGTTCATCGCGAGACGCCTGTAGCCGACGAACGGAATGCCAACACCGGTGCCTCTATGGAAGTACCACAGCTTTCCCCACTGCGAGTCCGTCATGGGCTCTGCATGACCAAGACAGTGTTAGAGACCCATTGCAGCATACGAGACAGACGCTGACCGCCGCCCGTTGCCCAATACTGAGGTGGGCGAATCAGGAGCAATGACATCCGGACAGACTTGCTCGATGGGGCGGTCGGGATGATCGTGAGGTTCGGTGAGTGCACAGTGGGTGCGGTCGAGCGTGTACTGACGAACAGGTTGTCTGCAGCGCGGTCAGTATAAGAGAGCAGAGCTGGACGGACATCCCTATTTTCCTTGGGACGCGCCGCCTCCTATGATCCCTTGCAGTGTCTCCTCTCGGGGCCAGACCCAGACTCCAGAGTCGTTCCCCCGGCCGCACTACCCCTGTAGTGTCCTAGGTAGGGACTCGCAATCAACTACCTAGCGGGTTTCCGACGTTGCTCTCATGAGTCTGCCGCCTAGCCACACTTGGAGCTTGCCTACTCAACTGGTCACCGCTCGAGGTCTAAACGTTCACCTACCTAATATGAAGAAAGCGCTCGTATACCCCTGTCCTCGACCTCAGAGGAAGACGATGACTGTCCTAGGTTCCGATCAATTCTACAAAGGACACGAACTACTTGATACGCGAAGGACGTTAGGGTCGGCAGATGGACGTTCAGCATAAGGCTTGAATACACAGAGACTGTGGTACTGTTCGACCAGCAGAGCAAAGAGTTTAGCCGTGTCCTATACGAAGCGGCGCGCGACCCGGCAGGCTCCGGATGCTGTGTTGGCAGTCCGCATATGGTAACTTCTTAAACCTATCCTCCGTCCATCCTCTCCCCCTCCGCGTGCTGATTTTCATCATTCCGGAGGAACACAGGCTGGGAAAAATCTAGGAAAAAAGGATGACCACCGCAGGACTCGAACCTGCAACCTTTTGGTGACAGATCACGTGATCTTTCGGCAATAGCCGTCCGGCGATCGAAGCCAAACGCGCTACCATTGCGCCAGGTAGCCATGCTATACTGCCAAGTGTATAATATTGACGGTTCATCATATACAATGAACCATATCTTCTCTTCTCCAACGCTCGACGATAGCGCTTGATGCCGCTGGCACGCTGAGGTGTGCTCTGGACCCTTCTGAACCGCAGAAATCGAAGGAAAGCAAGGGAAAGAACGGCGCAGCTTTACCTAGACCACGGGATGGGCGTCCTGCTTCGGAATACTGTCCATCTTCCTGCAGCTTCCTTCACTGAGCAGGGGTATTCGTGTCGCTTAAGCTAGTTGGCCGCGGCTTAAGTGGACCTGCAAGCAACACGTTCTTATGTTACATTGCCTGGGCCAACATCAGTACGTCCCTTTCTCATAGTCCACAAGCTGAGCCTCTCTACAGCTCAGCCTTGCACATAGAAAGCACTCAGCCTGAGCCTTCAGGATGTGTGCCTGCTTATCTCGATCCAGAGAGTGGGGTAGTGCAGCCCGTGTGGCTTGCAATACGGAACGGATGCCTTCGTGTCCTGGTTGTAAGGCGTTCGCTGTGGGCAGTCAGTCAATCACCCGTGGAAATCGTCGCAAGCACACAGTAACGGGGAGGACGGACCGCTCCTCGCCCGGTGATCGACGTTTATTTCGTCCATCCGAGTCAATGCGTTCACACCACCATGACTCGATGCTGAGGCGTCATGCTGACCTATGTATGTGAGAAACTGGAGAGCCAAGACCGCAGAACGTGAGACTCGGGCTATCGCTCATCGGGAACTCCCAACCCCATCCCTGCGCAGTGAAGGTTAGCCTGCTCAAAGCCTTGGAATCGTGCTAACACGTCCGGTAGCTGAAGATCTAGAATCTGTACAAGCATGGACGCTGCGTCGTTCATAGATCTAACCCATCATCTGTCTCCCGAGACATTAGCACGCCGGACGAATCCACTCAAGGATATCATCCGCATATCTATGGAGAACCCGCATCTTGTGTCACTGGCGAACGGTACGACATATCGATTACACAGTAGAAGCAGAAATGCGGCTCGCTAATGCCTCTCCTTCCTAGGTGATCCTCACCATACCCTCTACCCGATCCGTCGCATAGACTATGAGGTGGCCTCCGTGGCTCCCGAGGACCCAGTGGCCGACTGGAGATCGCTAGGCAACGCCGCTCCTACACAAGTCTTGAGCACCTCGCAGGACGAAGACTCCGACCGTCTCCTCAAATCGTCACTCCAGTATGGACACGGTGCCGGCCTCGCGGATGCCCTCAAGACAGTCACCGAGATCAACAACGCTTACCACCGTGCCCCCTACCACGTTCCGACCATGACCCTCGGTAACGCGGATGCGATCACCAAGTGCTTCCGTATGCTCGGCGCGCCAGGAGATTACTTCTTGGCGGATGAGTTCACGTTCGCCCCGATGCCTATCGCGGCCGAAGCGCACGGTGTGAAGTGGATCCCTGTGAAGATCGACTCCGGGGGCATCGTCCCAGAAGAGCTCGAGCGTATATTGGCGACATGGAACCCCGAACGCGGACGTCGGCCTCACGTCCTATATTCTGTTCCGTGAGTACCTCAACTCGAGGGAGTACCCCACGTCTGACTTGCATTCAGGTGTGGTCAGAACCCAACAGGGTCGACGTTGAGCGCCGCAAGAAGAAGGCAGATATACGACATTGCTCGACGCTACGACCTGGTCATCATCGAAGATGGTAGGTCCTTCCGGTGCTTGCAAGGAAAACCCACATCAAACTCCCTCAGACCCGTACTACTTCCTGCAGTACGACAAGCCCATTTCAGAGTTTCCCGAATCGTTCCTATCCATGGACGTCGACGGCCGAGTCGTCCGCATCGACAGGTAAGACCTCCCCATCACAACACATTGCATCGATCCTCACGCGTCTGGGCCTCTCGCTCGTAGCTTCAGCAAGATCATGGCCCCAGGGATGCGCCTCGGCTGGATCACCAGCAGCCCCTCCTTCCGCACGCACCTCGTCAAATACACCGACCTCTCCACGCAGCACCCGCACGGCTTCGGCCAGGTCCTCATCACCGCCCTGCTCGGCCCGCACGGCTGGCAGCTCGCCGGCTTCGACAAGTGGGTGCGCAGCCTGCGCGCGGACTACCAGCGCCGGCGCGACTTCTTCCTCGCGCTGTTCGAGCGCGAGGTCGCGAGCACCGGCCTCGCGAACACGTACGTCCCAGAGGCGGGCATGTTCGTCTGGATCCGGGTCCACGTCGACAAACACCCGCGATTCAAGTCTGGCCTCGCGCAGGAGTCCGCGAGCGGCGCCGTCGCGCGGACGAACACTTCGGCCTTGATGACGGAGCTTTTCGAAGCGTGCGTCGCGGGCGGACTCGTCATCTGCCCCTCGTCCGTGTTTATGCTGCGCGCCGACCCGCGCTACGACGATGTCTCCTCCCCCATTGACGACGTGAGTGGACCTGAGCAGCTACTGCGGCGATGTCTTACATGCATGACGCAGCGCTCCAACTATCTCAGAGCGACCTTCGCGGGCTCCGAGGGAACCATGGCGGCTGGCATCCCAATTCTCGGGCGGGTGCTGAAGGAATTCTTCGCCACGCCCACTCAGGATGGATGAACGGCATCCGCAGCGCGCGAGCTGCAGCTGCTAGGATGGATACATACCGAAACGCACAGATCGAGAGAGATGTACAATTCTATAGACCAAACGGACATTAAGATGAACATGTTACATTACAGTCCGAATGCCCGATCGCGAGCTCATCCGCGGCTCCTGCACCAGCTTTCATCAACTACACGCTATTGACTTCTGTCTACTTCCCTATGAATAACTTACTCATACGTGGACGACGCATAGATGTCGTACGCGGGTATCGAAGACCAACCCCCGGATATCCAAAATGTGGAGGCCGCCGCCCAGGCGCGAAGCGCTACCGACGGGTCGTGACGCTGCGCACGACCTGCTTCCACACACGACCGAGCGCATGCGTCCGCTTCGTCTTCACGCCGTCCCTGTTGCCCGCGCTCTCCGCCGCAGACAACTCAGGAGCAGTCGCAGAACGCGCGTGGACAGCTCGCACACACCCGTTCAGATCGACCACAGAAGTCGCCGCAGACGAGAATACAGACGGGATCGGGCTGGCCCCTGACCGCATCCACGGCGCGAACGCCCCTCCATCCGCATCGCGCACCTCCACCGCCAAGTCCCCCGCGCGTTCCTTGCCCTTCCCCTTATACGACGGCACAGGCACAGCGAGCACGCCCATCTCATCCACCTCCGTCGCCGTCCCGAGCGAGACGTCGCTCGCGGACGGCCCGAAACTCATCGTCAGGCTCGGCGTGTCGCAGTCCATCGAGAGGCCGGACGCGGCGGAGGCGAGGGATGCGCGGGATGACGCGCGCGAGCGGAAGCGCTGCTGGCTCGCAGGGGCGGAGTTCGGCGGCGGGAGCGGGGACGAGAGCGAGACCATGGACGAGGTACTCGTGCACGACGGCGTGCGCGCGGGCATGGGAGGAGGCAGGAGCGTGTCGAACGAGCGCGTCTTGCTCGCGAGCGACGACGCGGTGGAGCGACGCCTCGCTTCGCGCGCCGAGACCGGCAGGACCACGCCCTCCGCTTTCAAGCCTAGTCGAGAGAAGCGTGGTGCGGCCGACTGCGTGAGCCAGTTCTCTTCGGGGCTGCGCGAGGTGGAGGGCGGCGGGCGGAAGGACGCGCGCCGCGGATCGCTGTCTTTTCTCACGGAGCTCGTCGCGGAAGTCGCAGAGCGGGCGCTAGGGGTGGGAGAGGTAGGCCGGGACGGCTTGGGGCTCGCGCGGGTCGCGTGCGATGATGAGGAGGAAGATGCATGTGCGTTGAAAGGAGGTCGAGCCCGAGTGGGCATGTGCACCCACGAGGGGACGGGAGGCACTGGCGGCGGAGCATCATGCGATGTGGTGGACTTCGTGCGCCTCCGCGCCGGAGGCGCAGGCGCCGTCGGAGACGAAGGCTCGGATACCGACTCTCCTTGGGATGCGGGGAAGTTCAGCTTCGAGAAGACGGCTGCCAACGTACGCCTGCGCTGCTTCTTGGTTTCGATGGCGGACACCGAGCGTGACTCCCCTGGCGCAGTAGTGGAGAACTCAGGCAAGGGCGAGAGGTGTTTGATACCGCCGCCCGGAGTAGGAGGCGCACTCGCGGCTCCAGCGAGTGCATCGACGGTGAGAACAGCGATAGAGGGGCCAGCAAGCGGAGACGAGCGCAGCGGCCGAGAGAGGCGGGAGGGCGACAATGAATTGACGGTCGTCGAGTGACTACGTGAGGCGATGGAAGGCCGTGCAGGGATCGTGAGCCTGTGGTCTGCAGAAGACCGGTGGGGAAGTGAAGGAGTGACAGAGGAAGGAGCGACGGGCATGGATACACTAGGAGTGGACTGGAGGACGTATAGATGGTCAGTATGGTATGCAAGGAACTGGCAGAGCGAAGTAGAAGGAGAGACTGCGAAAGAGATGGAGGGCGGGTTCGAGGATGTCGCATAGGGCAGAGCGATGTGCGGGCTGATGATATGATGGGATGGGAATATCAAGCAGATGAGCCGCTTGACAGACGTCTGGTATGCACAGAATCTGTGGCAAATGAGCTGGACGAGAAGAGGACAGAGCTGCCTGGATCGATGCAGACGAGCAGCTATATCTTCTGCAGCCCGACATTCAACACGAGCGAAATGCATGGCCGGGGGTGCTGATCCTGAAACCTGAAACCTGCATGGGCGGGGGATGAGACGGAAGGGATGGACGTGCACAGCATCATCTAGCTTCATATGTGGGCTGCGTCCCTGAGCAGTCTGAGTGCGCTCGCGTGCCTCGCCGACTACTGCAAGCGAGATGACCAGTCGCTTGTGCTCGCCGTTCATTCCCCCCTGCTGCAAGTCTCTCCTCTGTCTGCAGTGGGAGAGACCACAACGATCGTTCCGGACCCGCTGAGGCGCAACGTTCCTCTAGCGCCCTCGACAGATGAATCCCGCGCGGCCCCGACATTCGTACGCAGAATCTTTGGGCTTGGGAA